GTCCTCAGATGCTGCTTCTGCCTTATAGAAGGCAGGCTTCCTGTCAGATGATGGGACAGTTATACCAGTACATCTAATAGAACCCATGCGGTGATTATAATCCTTTCCTAAGTCGGAGCACAATATACATCGAACCTGGTTCTTACAGGTAGACACGGAGTGTCCTGTCTTACCACAGCGGAAGCAGGAACCACTATGGTCTTTGCTCGACTTGCAGTTAACACGCACATGTCCTATTTGCCAGCATCGATGGCATTGAAGAGGGCGCTTCTTTAAAGACTCCACTCTAACAGTGGACCATCCGATTGGTATTCTTTTCTTTTCGGTAAGTAGAATTGCAGCAGTCTTGGGGCACTGAACCCATACAATGCCAGCACCATTTCTCGTACGACCAATCTTTCCGGATCGGACTTCACTAGGCTTACAATTGCCCGTAGTTGATACTGCCTCAATGATTTCCTCCTTGGAAATGGATTCATCCATTCCAATTAGTTTGATTTCACCAGTAATAGTGGGACGCGAAACATAAGCTTCTTCTTGTAGGACTCGTTGTATTTCCGATGCCAAACGGTCTGCTTTAAGGGCATTATCGGGTCCATGTATTTCTATTATAGCGTTGCCACTAATGCCCCTTCTTACTTTGGGCATTTGAATGTCCAATTCCTGGAGCGAAATCTGGGATCGAATTCGTTTGAGTGCTTCGGCATAGGAGAAGTCCGAGCTTTTACCTTTCAGGCTTACCGCAGCGGTTTTAGGTAGTCTTTTTTTCTCAGTACGTGTCGCGACTTTCTCTTTCTTTTGTTTTAGGGCTTTTCCATCCTTGCCCACAGTCGTCCACGGTAGATCCCGTGGAGGTTGGGTCGGTCGTGGACGAGCGGATGTCCCCCTTTGCTGATTTTCCGCTCTAGGCGGTTTTATTTGAACATTACTAATGACTCGGATATCCGTGCGTTTAGCCTGAACATTATCCTTGTTAGAAAATACCATGCTAGGTATCTCCTTATGCACAGAATCATTGCGTATCGGGATAGCTATCGATTTTCCCAGCAGTGGAGGTCTATAAACCCAGTCATTAGGAAGCTCTTCTAAAGGAGGAGCAGTTGTGTCACGTGATGGTAAAGTTGGCCAATCTTCCTGAGATTTGATGTTGATTGGCTGTGCAGCAGGATGGGGGCTTGTCCGAGAGTTCGACCTTTCTCTGTTTTTCTTATGTACATATTTATTTTCATTATCATTATCTTTTTCTGTATATATTTGTACATTTTGACGCTCCATTTCTTTTGTATATACATTCTTCTTCCTCTCATTTTCATTCATATTTTGTACATTGCCATCCTCATTGTTAGCGTATGTCTCTTTACCAATACTACTTCTAATTTCCTTAAAGGTGCGTCTCATTTCTAAGCGAATACTCTTATTTTCCTGGCGCAACTCTTTGATGGTATCTTGGAGTTCGCTAATCTCACGTTTACGTCTTTCCTCCTCTTTTTTATTCTCCTTCATTTCTTGGAGGAGTTCGTCAATTTTGATTTGTAGCGCATGTGGATCTCCCACGTGCTCGGCTCTCTCCTGGAGTGCTCGTACAAAGCCACTAAGTCCTTGCGTTCTTCTGCGTAGTTCTCCACTGAGTCCGCCTTGTAATCGTCCGCTCTTGGTACGGATGATTTCAATGGCCTCTATGTATTCAAGTGCAAGCGCACTGATGTCAGATACTGTCATATTTTGTAACAGTTCAGCCTCAATAGCATCTGGAGCCTTGCCAGTACGCTGGATAATCTGCTGCTCCGCGATAAGTGGATCTATCGCACGGACCTTTCTGCGAGGTCGGCCGACCTTACGTTTTCCTTCAACATCCGTGCCTGACGGCTCGTTTTCATTCGTAGTGCAGCCTGGGTCTTCTTTACCCTCGTCCAGATTAGGTTGTGTAAGGCTAAGAATAGCCTTCTTACGAGGAATACTAGAGCGAGTCTTATTTTCGCCTAAATCAGAGGCACTATCGTCTAACGAGTCAGTATCTACAACTCGACATTTCTTCCTTTTGAACGCAATGCGTTCCTCGTCAATATCCATGGTAGCTGGATTACTAGGGCCAGCAGCAGGTGCAGCCCGTTCTTCCTCTTCAATAAGGGTGACCCAACTCTGGGACTCCAGAGGAGGGGCATCCTTAAGCGGCGCATCTAAACGAGGAGGACTAGACTCTCCAACGATGACCGTATCCGCACTTATGGATCTGTGCGAGTCGGGCTCATTACACGTGGCGACATCTCCATTAGGCGCAAGAGCCTCTTTATTTACCACTGGTTTTGAGACGGCAGTAACCAGTTCCTTCGCGGGCCTGCCGTAATCACCGCGGGTGGCCCATCGTCCGATGAGGACACCCCCGGAGCTGGGACAATACTCCGGGCGGCGCCCACCCCTGTTGTATCCGATCCAACTGGGGTCGTAGTGATCGGCTCCTGTTGCTGCATATTCATAGTGGTTTTTGGGGTGGGGGTTTTTAGGAAAACCCCCAAACCATCACACACACATTCACACGCACACTCACACATGGCTATTGGAAAGAAGGGAGCCACCCTTACGAAAGATAAGAAGGGGATTTGGGGACAATGGGGAGGGAAAAGGATGGGAAAATAGGGTTGGAACACATGCGCAAGACGCGCCATTCATCCATCCACACACACATCCACACACCAGGAATTAAGGATTCATGGGGCAATGGGAAGGAAAAAGGAGGTAAGGGTAGGATGGGTGAGAGAAGCTGAGAAAGGATATCGAAGGAAAGGAGCAAGAATTGGGGAAACGAGAGGATTGGGGTGTTTTTCCACCCTTAACGGGATCCTCAACCCGGGCGATTGCAGTCAGGGCCGCCTACCCCTATGCGCATCAGGCCAGAGTGCCCGGAGGGAGCGCAACCCCCCTTCCTCCCCTTCCGGGGAGGGAAGTGCAATGCAGGCTCTTGGTCACCGTCCCCCGGTCCCCGGGCCCCCCCGACACGAAAGTGTCGAGGTGGGGGCCCGAGAGACCCACCGGGCCCCCCCGACACCTAGGTGTCGAAGTGGGGGGCCCGATGGGCCCGGAGACCGGGGGGCGGCTAAGCCCCTCCACCACGTCAAGGTGGCCTGCAATCGGAGGAGAACCTAACCTAACCTAACCTAACCTAACCTAACCTAACCTAACCTAACCTAACCTAACCTAACCTAACCTAACCTAACCTAACCTAACCTAACCTAACCTAACCTAACCTAACCTCCCTTTGAAGGGGCTGGGGTAGGTGTCTTAGCACCTCCCTTAGCCTTTGTTGCAGGCTTGCCCTCACGACCGACCTTGGTCCATTCGGACGAGTTGTCGGCCATGCTCGCGGGCTCGGCAACCCTAGCGAGCGCTTTGGCCGGGGGGGCCTTTACGGTCTTACTCCCGGCCGCCTTCTTCCCTCCCTTAGCAGGGGTAGATGGAGGAGGAACCATAGGAGTCTTGGCTCCTTTTCCCTCTTCTTTTCTTCCTCCTTCCGTCCCTTTTTTCTTCTTCGGGGCAGCAGCGACGACTTCAGCAAAGGATGGGTTTCTGCTGGCCGCCGTTGCTCTTTTCTCCGCCTGCAGTGCAGGCCTAAGTTTTTCGCGGGGAAGGCGCTGCTCGATGACGGCAAATCTCGCGTCGATATATTTGTATACCTGGCCCGAGACCGCCTTAGCCAGCGCCTCCAGACCCAAACCGGTAGGAGCCTCCATCCTGTCTACCGGTGAGTTTTCGCCGTCTCCTTTCCGCTCCATCCTTGAGCCAAGGACGGGGGTTGGGGGAGGGTGAACCTCCATTTCCTCCCCACTGTCGCGCATTGCGTGTTGCGGCGGTGGTGGGGAAGGGGCCTCCAGTAGACTGAGGCCGAGCGGTGGTGGATCGACATGGGAGTGAGTCATGTCGGCCACCTTCTTCTGCAGCTCCTCTAGCTGCCTTCTCATCTCGGCCACTTCCCTCGTGAGCCGGATGTTCTCCTCTTGAAGGCGACGACTCTCGTCGCTCTGGGTGCGGTTCGCCAACTCTTTGCCGGCCGCACCTACAACCATGGCCGCTTGCTTCAATATCTTGATGGAGGTACCTTTGTACCCCTTTTTGAAGCCAGCGACCCTGTTGACCGCGTCTGTTGCCCCGCGGAGCTGGCGTACGAGTTCCGCAGACGTGAGGCTAGACGGGTCTGGGGGTGTTTCTGACCCATCCTCTGCCGTCGTCCCTGTCCCCAGGAGGATATTCCTCGACCGAGTGATGGCAGGCTCGGTCCAGTGGTCGGCGAGCTCCCGCTCTGCCATGAGGGTCAACTCCTCCTGCTGCAAGCGGATCAATTCTTCCTTGGCCTTCGCAAGGCCCGCGTACTCCCCTGTTGTGGGGGGTCTTCCTCTGCCTCTACTGCTTTCCCTGCTATGGCTTGCCGACCCTTCCCGGGAGAGGGTGAGTTCAGCCGAGGCATTCGAGGCATCGGAGTCGCAGTTCGACTCCCTTGGACGCTTGGGTGCCGGGTCATCGTCCGAGTCATCGACGTCCATGTGACTGTCCAAGGATGCCGATGGTGCTTCGCTCGCTTTCCGACGTTTGCTGCAAGCAGGCCCCGGTCGGTTGTAGACCGGGGAGCCGGGGGGATCAGGGAGGGAGAATGTACTCCCCTCGTCTCCCGACTTCTTCGCGGCGGTGTTAGTGCCGCACTCGCCCGATTCGTCGACCGAGCCGCACTCCAAACCGCTCCTCGATGAGCAACCAGTTTTCTGGCTGCGAGAGCTGCTCCGAAGGCTGTCACGACGCGACAACCTCGGACTTGAACCCTCCTGTTGAGAGGTCCTAGGACCGCTTTCGTCCGCGTCCTGCGGGAATGCAGGGCGTTGATCCTCCCCCTCGTCTTTATTTTTATTTTTATTTATTTTTGAAATTGGGCAACTCATTCTTAGTTTAATCCCACGTTCCCCCTGCAGCTCCCTCGACCGGGTATACCCTCACCCCAGCCGGAAGTGCCCCGAAACATGACCGGCAACACTCCCGACCGAGGGCCCCAAGTTCCCCCGGGGGGTCGAGATACACCACAGGCCGGTGGCCATAGGCAGCACCGGCACTGGGTCCCAGCCCCTTACACACCCATGGAGGGTTTGACTCCCCCATGGGCTTTCAGGGGTTCCGCGCCTCCGACCACGCGGATACTGCAGGGGGCGGCGCCACCCGGGGGGCCCCACGGACGGTTGGGACGGGGCAGCCGCTCCCCTACCCCGCCTTACCCGCCGTGGCGACCAGCACGCCCCCACACCGGACTGGCCGGATCTGGGGGGCAAGCGCCGTCCCGGTGGTTGCCGCTTCGGAAGGGGAAACGGTCGCGGACCACCACCGGGTACCCAAACTCTCGCCGCCAGACCCCGACCTCGGAATACGTCCGAGCGGCTCTGACGGCTGGCAGCGGCGGGGGACCACCAACGGGGAAGACCCCCCGTTGGGGACACCCAACCGCTGCATCCTCCGTCGCACCGACCCCGCCTCGGAAACGTCCGAGCGGCTCGATGCGACCCGGGCCGGCAGTCCGGACAAGTCCGGTCACCCGGATATCTCCGGATGAGTCATCTGCCGACCCGTCCCCTCCTCCTACTTGGCGCGTATCCCGGGGTCACACCCCGGGCTACGCGCCAAGTAGGAGGAGGGGACGGGTCGGCAGATGACTCATCCGGAGATATCCGGGTGACCGGACTTGTCCGGACTGCCAAGCGGTGGGAGGCGACTACCCCCTTGCGGGACGCCGAACCTTTTTTTTTTTTTTTTTTTTTTTTTTTTACGGGGAAAATGCATTACGCAGACCCCCCCAAGGTGCAATCCAAGGTGCTCCTGCTGTTTCTCCCTCTCTTTGTCTTTCTCTCTCTCTCCCTTTTCCACTCCCTCTCTCTCTCTCTTTCCCACTCTCTTCTTTCCCGCTGCCTTTCCCGCTGCTCTTGTTCTCTTGCGCTCTGGCGGTGCTCCCACCTAAAGCGCAGCATCTCTTCGGCATCTCTTCTCAACTCTTCGGTATCTCTTCTTATCTTTTCTATCTCCTCTATCAAACGCCGTCTCGTTTCGTCCTCGGAATCCGAGGAGAGGTTCGCTGAAAAAAAAAAAAAAAAAAAAAAAAAAAAAAAAAAAAACCTTCGTCCTCCGTGTCCGCCTCTTCTGGGACCACCTCCAGGTCCAACACCCAGTAAGCTAGGATTCTGCGCCTGGGACGCCCGCTTGGATGGAGGACCGTCTAATCGATACGAAATAGCGCGGCACGATTAATTATCGAAATACTATCCGAATAATCCAAACTTATAAACGATTATACTTACCTTTCCAGTTTCGCCTTTGTCGAAATAATCTGAAAATAGAAATATCGAAAAACTATTTAAAATTTTTTCTCTTTAAAGTCCCGTAACTCTTTTACCGCGTGAAAGATACGATGTGATTGACTGTGGTCCCCTCTGTTAGATCTCGTCGAGTTTAACAGAGGGGACCACAGTCAATCACATCGTATCTTTCACACGGTAAAAGAGTTACGGGACTCGAAAGGAAAAAAAGAAAAGCGTGTACTTAATTTTACTTTTCCTTATATACGTGTACTTACGTCAGATAACTGGCTTTCACTGTAAAATCTGGAAAAAAAAAAAAAAAAAAAAAAGGACGAATGTTAACTTTAATATTCAAAGTCTCGTATCTCGCAAACGGTCAGAGACACGAAGTCAGACCATGGGACCTTTCTTGTAGATCGCGTCGAGATCTACAAAAATGGTCCTATACTCCGATCTCGTATCTCTCACCGTTTGCGAGATGCGGGACTTTAAAAATCTGAAAAAGAAAGATGAATGTTAAGTTTAATATTCAAAGTCCCGTATCTCGCAAACGGTTAGAGATACGAGGTCGGACCATGGGACCTTTCTTGTAGATCGCGTCGAGGTCTACAAAAATGGTCCTATACTCCGATCTCGTATCTCTCACCGTTTGCGAGATACGGGACTTTGAAATACCGAAAACGAACCACGACCGAACGCGGTTCCTTCTTACCTCTTGTAGGGTCCGCACCAACGACTGCCGCGGTAATGAGCCGAGAGGCCGCGCTCTCTCGACCTTGTAGACTCGGCAACTTCTCAAGGAAGCGAGATACGAGTTTAATTCATAGGAACTTTTTTGGGGAAAAGGTCGAGTTGCGTCGAATGGCGTTGGTCCCGAGTCTCTAGGACCAACCTCCGCCGAGGTCGGACCATAAGACCTTTTTTGCAGGGCGTCTCGAGCCCTTTCAGATTCATTGAGGTGTTTTTTTTTCGAAATATGAATTTTTCGATGTTTTTTTTTATTTTTCGTTTTTCCGCCGCGGGAGTTTGTCTTCAACGACCTCACCGACAACACCGAGTTGGAGATCTCCGAATCAAATTGGGACATCAATTATCATCCTGATGAGTCGTCTAACAGCGGTTCGACGACCACCAGCACAGCCTCTATAGAGGATGTGTCGGATTCGGATGACTTCGGTGACTTCGAAACCGACACGGAGGAGGACACCTCTTCCGACAGCGAGGAGCCGCCGATTAAGAGAGCCCGCCTCGATCAACCGTAGTTTGAAAAATGTAAGAAGAAAATAACAAATAAAAAAAAATATAAAAAAAAAAAAAAAAAAAAACTCCTCCGATGCGAGTCACCTTGACGCGGTGGAGGAGCTTAAACCGCTCCCGGCCTCCGGGCCCATCGGGCTCCCCGCTTCGACATCTTGGTGTCGGGGGGAGTCCGGTGGGTCCTTCGGGCCCCCGCTTCGACACTTGCGTGTCGGGGGGTCCCGGGGACCGGGGACGGTGACTAAGAGCTCGCATTGCCTTGGTAGGCTCACTATCGCAAATGTGGTGGAAGCGAACACAATGACGCGCAATATTTTTACGCTTCCCGTTGCACCGATCGCGCAGGTCGTGACGAGTACCTTGAACCGTGGGAATATAGACGAAATGGTAACACTGTTCAACGAAATGTAATGAAATTGTAATTGTGCATGCAACTTATATTTTACCTTTGTAATAGCTAATAGCAATATCATAGGCGGGGGGAGGGGCGGAGCCCCTCCCCCCGCACCCCCTTCCCCGCCTGCGCCTTTTCCCACTCGGGGGGCTTCGCCCCCCGAACCACTGCCCACGCGAAACACGCATTGTCTTTAAACTGTACGTTAACCACCGCTCTTTTCATCATAATCTCCCGCGACAATTTAATGTGGCATCTCGCGCGCATTGGATTATATTTATTTACATTAACAGTCAAATTCTGTATTCGCGACAATGCCCAGCCGCTATCGCGTTCTTGAAACTCTTCCAAAGACGCTAAAGTGGGCTCGATAACGCGGCGCTCGAACTCGCGTAAATCCGATGTGCGAAAGAGTTCACAGTTTCTCGTATTCACACTTTTATTCGCGCGCTTATCACCCGACACAAATTCACCATTAAACACAGTGTTCACTTTTACACTGTTGTGTCTTTTTAGAACGTCTTGCACTTGCTCGAGCACGATGTCTTCGGCATCCTCGAGAAATTGACGAGGTTCGATACCGCATTAATCACGGCACCGGTCAGAATACGGTTGTCGAACGCGGTATCAATCTCTCGCCAAACGAGTCTTTCAACGTTATTGTCACCGCTGTAATCACCACCACTGGGAATAAACCGTCTCTGCAATCGAGTCTTTGCACCTTCTAATTGCGCGATTTTAGCCACCAGAGATTGTCTATTTCCGTTCGAGAGCCGCGGACGCTTGACATGACTGCGTTCTTCCAGCTCTTGGATCAATTCCTCGTAACGCTACACCCACGCGAAGTACTCGCCCAAGGTGGCAATTTGGCGAGATCCCTCCATCAGATCGCGTTCGGTCTGCTCGATGTTTTCCATCTTCCTGTCTTTTTCACACTTTTAAAGCACTACGTCACAGTTTTCTACGGATGACTTTTGCACACGAAAAACAATACCGTTCTCTGTCTTGAACGTGAAATCGCACAAAAATCTTCCTAACGGAACACCGCTATACTTTTTTTGCAACCGACACGTCGATGGGCGTTCAAATCACATACTATGATGATTTGATGCACTTCAATTCTTCTTATATATGGAAGGAGGAAACAAAGGTGCAAAGCAGCCGAACATCGATGCTCATACGCGTTGCAATATCGTCTCTTCCGAGAAAAAATTACGGAGGACAATTCTAGGAGGTGCCATTTGTTTATATTGTTTATAAATTCGCATGATGTATAATTCAATAAGAAAGAGATAAGGATACGTCGAACGGAAAAAAATCTAGAATTACTTATATCGGGGGTAAGGGATGTACCGCGAAAGCGCAAAGCAGCCGAACATCGGCGCTGATATACGAGCGGCGGAAGCAAGGATGCAAAGTCGGTGCTGATGTACATTGCATTCTTTCCGATAAAAAACATGCGAGATGATTCTAAAGTGTTTATATTGTTTATCAACCGGGCACGTAATACAATATTGCTTATACTTTCGATAAACATATGGGACCGCGCATACTTTTTTACGAGGTGTTTACGGCGATATGGCGATAATGCCACATCTCTATTATACGATCTCGTACCAATCTCGCTGCCTTGTCACAAAGAGTTTGGCAATGCGCGAATCAAAAAGTCAAAAGTGCAGAATCAGTTATCAAAAGTAAAGAATCAGTCGTCAAAAGTAAAGAATCAGTCGTCAAAAGTGAAGAAGAAGTGATTTTTTTTTCATTATTCTTGTGTATTTTATAAAATGGCGGAAGAAAATATTATTATAATTAATGATGACGATGATGATGTTATGATCATCGATGATGACGATGTGATGATCATCGAAAATAATGTAATGAATGTTGACGAAGATGACGAAGATGACGCTGATATTGGAGTAGAACCTTTGGCTGATAGTGATTACGAAAGTGTCAATAGTGACGATAGTGATGAACTATTACAAATGAAAGAACGAAATTTAGACTTACCAGAAATATTGACATTGAACGATACAATAAAAATATGCTGCATCGTTCTATTATGTAGAATATGGACAGAAATATTGTGCGGAATGCTTCCTGAGACTATCGTTTTTATTTCTAGAAACTAGTGCTGTACGGAAACATCGCTGCACAAATTATCAACATTTAACTAATATATCCTGCAAAGAGTGCAGGAAATTATTAAATCAAATATTACCGTGCGACATGTGCCCCATGTGCACAAATTAAAACATTCTAAGTATTATTTTTTTAAATCTTAACTCTCTCTAACTACGCTTGTATGAATTCAATATCTTTTTTCTGTTACAGGAGCAACTATCTCCCAAACCCGGCACCCCCCCTCTCCCAATTATATATTTTATTTTATATTTTTTATATTTTATATTTTAAAATTTTATTATAATTTTAATTTTAAATACACATACACACACACACATAAATATGTATAATATACACACACACATTTTAAAATAAATTTTATATATATTTCAAAATAAATTTTATATATATTTTAATTTAAAAAAAAATCTACTTATTTTGCATGCCTCTCCTTGCGTTCCCATCCCTGCATCTCTCTCATACGTTAATCTAAGTCTCGCGCTAGTTATAAGTCTCTCTCTCTCTTGCGCTAGTTGTAAGACTCGTTCGACATCATCGTTGCGCTAATTGTAAGTCTCGCGCCATCGCTCCCTCTCCCTCGCACGCGTTGTTCTCGCGCCATCGCTCCCTCTCCCTCGCACGCGTTCTCACGCCATCGTTCCCTCTCTCTCGCACGCGTTGCCATTCAAAGAAATGCTGCTGTTTATATTATTTATAAATCAAACATGTTCGTACGCAATATTGTTTATCAATCGGGCATGTAATACAATATTGCGATAAAACATCTAACATGCGTCTTCTCCGAAATCCCCTCCGTCCCGCGTGACGTCATTCTCCCGCGCCACCGTAATCCCCCGCGCGCCTCACCCCTCCTGAGAGGACCAGGATTAGAACCCGCCTTATATCACTACTCTCGGGGATCCTTTTCTTGCATTATGCAATTAAGTTATTAATTTGTTTTATATCACAGTGAAAATGATTTTGTTAACATTTAATTGTGCATCATGTGAAATTTCTGATGAGCATCTCCATTACTCGGCTCTTCATGTTGTAAACTTCCGACTTCGGCCATTGCAATTTTATCAACGCATTAATTTTTATAATCCCAACGAGTTGTGAGTAAATTTGAATAATTTGAATAATTTTTATTTTCTCCCTTTCCCATATCTTACTATCGCATAATTTAAAATCTATGTCTGACTAATAATTTTAAACAATTAATAATCATTAAATTTTTACTAATTACTAATCAATCAATCCTTGTCTCACCTCTCCTCCAGTCTTATTCCTAGTTCTTTCTAATTCGCCTAGAATCTCTGCAAGGCGGTTCGCGAATAATTTACCTATTCGTCGAGAATCTCCGCAAGGCGGTTCACGAACAATTCCCTGTTCGTCGAGAATCTCCGGAAGGCGGTTCACGAACAATTTCCTGTTCGTTGAGAATCTCCGCGAGGCGGTTCACGAACAATTCCCTGTTCATCAAGAACAAATTTTACTCTCTTTTATTTTCTTTTAATTTCCCATTTTTTGCATTATTATTTTTTCTTTTTTTTTCTTTTTTTCCCTTTATATTATTTTCCTTTGTATTATCATTACTTTGGGAGAAATCATTGAAATAGATGAATAATTTTCGAACTTAGACTTGGCGAATCTTTTATCTTAATTTTATTATTGTATTTTAATTTGGACCTGTGTTTCGCCGAATTTAGAAAATTTTAATTCTAATTATAACACATACTCGAGAATATATACTCACGCACACATACTCACTCATGCATAACTACAACTGCTAAGATGTATTTTTCTTTCCTTATTTTTTTTATATAATATATGTATTTTTTTATTTGATGTAGAATTTAATTATTTAACCCGTTCTCTTCCCTAAACCCTGAGATCTAGGTCCTATCCCGCGTAACAAGGATTAAATTCCTTTACCGAAAAGGGACCACCGAACGAATAGGCGTAAAAACGCAGAGTTAAAGAGACCTTCGGTCGTTGATCTGTGTCAGGCCCTTCACATTCGTTCGATCCGATCCATACACATGCCCGAATAAAAGTGTGTCACGGGGTAAATAAGTTACGCTTTTCCATACAACCCATCCTTTCAAGGTCTGGACGTAACATAGTGATTGGTGTTTGGTAGATGGACGTTGTTCAAAACATTATCCGAAACCTTTTCTCGAACAAACTAAAATGGATGAAGATGCTTATCCTTATTATCGCCGATGAAATAATGGAACAAATTTTGAACGTCCTGGTGGATATGTAGTTGATAATCGTTATGTTGTTCCATATTGTCCTACTTTATCAATTATATTTAATAGTCATATAAATGTTGAAGTAGTTTCAAGTATTAAATCAGTTAAATATCTATATAAATATATTTATAAAGGACATGATGTTGCTGCTATAACTATTGAACCAATAACAGAAAGTGTTGTTATTTATCATGATGAGATACATAACTACATTGAAGCTCGTTATGTT